TGTCGACTGATACCAGACAGCGGCAGGCTTATGCGTCCGGTCTTGAGCGGCCCACTGGCGCTTCTCCAAAGCCCCCCAAGAAGTACATTGATGCCATGTTTCAGCCAGTGGTGATTGATCCCGCGGAGCTAGGTGTGGCCATTGAGAATGATTCACAGGTGAGAGTTCTACACACACGCAGGTTAACTATGCTGTCCACATGTCTAATTTTTGCATTTTAGAAGTAGAAGTGCATTTAGGTTCATGTAGCCTTTGTGAAGCCTATATGTGCTAACGTCATGTGCTGAGTACATAGGACCAGTCTCAGCTATTTAAAAGCAACCTGCGATCAGAAAAGTAAGGGTTTACTCCTTCGAGCTATCACGCAATGCCACCTGTAATATGGACGTGGGGATATTACGAGGGCATTGTATTCTTAATTATTAATACAAAAGGAAAAGAGTTCGTATTTATGCTGCATGGCAATTTTTGTGTATTAAACAAAGAAACTGTGGCCCAACTATCTTTTAGGGTTTGGTTTTGGTTGCTTAAAACGTAATAGGGCTGAGGGATCATTTGACGCGGTTCGGAAATCGGATCTTGTCATTCGAATATCAACATGGACAGAAACACTACAAACCTGTATGAGCCGAAATAACATCTTAATAGCGTGAGCCATGAAGTATGTGGTGGTCCTCCGTAGCAGTCTTTGACAAGTTAAATACAAGCTCCCCAAGCATACTATTTGATGATCGGATATGCCCGTTGTAGGATATAAATAAAAATCCTGAAATAATTTGTTCTTCGGCGTGTTGCGGAAAGGTGTGCCACCTAACTCGATTCGTAGTTTATACTTATTTTCACGTGATCTTAACACATTTATTCTCACTCTGACAAATGCCATTACACATTAAGTAGCAAAGTAAATTGTAGACAATCTCAACCTATTAATAAATTGTTAAATGTAATTGAAATTGAAAATACATTCACTGTCGATTTTTTAATATGTCAGGCCACAAAAATGCATCAATTTATACGCTTTTGTACGAACAATAATGGTGAGAAGAAAGCGACAGTAGTAACAATGCTTTACATACTGACTGTCGCAGCAGTAAAAATGGGTTGATACAATTCTTGCCGGCCTAAATGACCCCATTTACACAGTTCGTTTGGGAGGCAACATTTGAAAGGTGATCACTGTTGCCAGCTGTCAGGCCATCCCGCCGCCAACGGGGATATAATCCGGTTATTATAAGGCTCCTTCTCATGGCCGATACAAACGAAATTTGCGAGTCTAGGGAAGAAATGGAGAAGAAGCAGGAAATGCGATCGCTGGGATGAGAACTTTATCCGCCTGATGTTTCGGATCGCAGCTAGAACCCAACATCAGGTGACAGCGCCAGGTACGGGTAGTTTGTACACAAGGAGTGGCAGTATTTATATAATGCAGTCACCAATTGCTCGACGGCTGGAATGCGGGTCGTTACCTGCTAAGAGTTTACCAGCCGTGTTTGAATCTGGTAAGAGGACTGGGAAGTCATCAAGTCCAAGTGGTACGAGAAGGTGGCTGACGGCCTCCGAGATGTCTTAAGCATAAACAGTTGCTCGCCTCAATTTGGGATCTGTGGGATTTTACCCGTATATGATGCTGTCCTCGAAGATGGGTCCCATCGATAGCATCTGCGTTTTCTCAGTTGCTACGCATATCAACCTCCTGGAGCTCATTCAAACTTTATTATGAACCCAGAGATGGTGAAGGCGTATGACTGTACATTTCGGCATGGGAATAGGTGACTCACGTAGTGTACAGTACGCGCCAGAATTCGTGCAACATGCCGACACATGCGAGAGATTGATAATCTTTCGCTGATCGCCATAACTCAGGTTGTGATGCTGATTATCGTGTAGTCTTTGCTGAAGTTATTTCAGTCATGATACGATGCGAGCTTTTTAACGAGCTTCGTTCTGAGCACTAACAAAACGTATGTACTGTAAACAGAAACTACTTGAATAGTATGCATTACTTATCAGTGATTTTGACTGCCTTTATAAGTTCAAATATATTTTAGGGAAAACATGCACGAAAAAATTATTTCTTGTACCCGTTTGGTAGCAAATTACGCTTTTATACGCAAATTACATTTTATACTTGAAGACAGGGCATCCTCCAGTCTAAGAAACATTTCTAATTATGAGCTTTTTTACGATTGTGAGGTGTTCACTCAAAATACATCGTATCCGTCAATGTATTAATGCTGTCTATACCGTATAAACTAGGCTCCTAATCTACTGCAACACTTTATGACAACTGTGTGACTTCTTTCTCAAACTTTAGGCGAAAACGTGCTTTTCCTTAAACAGGATGCACACAGTGCGTAGTTTGTAAAGCTCGAATTCAAGTGTAGCAGTCAGTAAGTTGACATATAATTCGGCAATTTATAAACTTTCTAAAACCGAAAGGCACCATTTCTTTAAGTTTGAACTTTAAAGAAGGCGTAATTTGCTTTTCATAAAATACAATTGAATTTATAAAGCAAATCAGTGTCAATGATAAAAAATGCATACTACTTAGCTAGTCACTTTTTACAGTGCATGCGTTATGTAAGCGGTCGGAAGGAAGCTCGTTATAAGCCGGCATCCTATCGTGACTGAAGTAACTTCAGAATAGCCTACATGATAATCTGTATTACAACCTTACTCGATGTCAATTAGCGGGCGAGTGTTGATCCTTCGCATATGTCGGCATGTTTCACGAATTCAAGGCCATGCTGTAGATAACCTTGAGTTAATCTCCAGAGTATTAGGATTAAGAAATTCAAGCAAGTCCCCCTTTGAATGTAACGCAAGGCTACCTGCACTAGGAGAGTACTTTTTTCCCTTTCAAACTGATAGTTCGAAGCGCGATGTCAGTTGTCTACCCGTTTAGATGTTTGCAGTTCTGAAAGGGGTTTGCACAGGAAAACAGTGGAGGAGGTAGAGGCGTTTTCCACAATAGTCTCGTAACGCCTCAGTTGAAATGCAACAAATCTTGTGCGTTTGCTTACCTCATTTTTCCGGCTAGATGGCCCTATCAGACAACTCGTATGCCATCGGCCTTCATTGCAGTTGTTCAAATAAGACTTGAACACTCCTGGAAAAGCAGCTTAGCTACCTAACTATTTTACGATTAACAAAACTGCGTAGAGTTGCAATCTGGGATTAGTTGGACGAGTGTATAGCGCTTAATTGCAGTGATGCCAACGATGTTTGCTTGTCGCAAAAGGACTGCTGCGTTAGCACAATGCTATTATAAAGATAACCTAGAAATAATGTGTGCGCAAGAGATTGCTAATTGTTTGCAGGTCGTTTTGCCCGAATACGTGGAATGGTTTGGAGACATGTCTAGGTATCTGACGGATGTCGGGAAGCGTGTTTATCGCGAACGCATTCTTAAAAACTATAAAATAGGATGCCAATTAAAGCAGCCACTAAAATGGCTTTTAAAATAGTTATCCTTCGGCAAATGACAATTTCTACTAACAATATATTTATCTTATAAACGTTTTGGTCATTTCTTCTTGGTGACCGTGTGCCTCTATAATAGCAGTAAACAGTATAAATGCAATAAAACTATATTTATTGCCTAAGTAAATGACGGCATTTCAATCCACATTGACTAAGCTTTTTAGGTTTTTTATTGCGCAATGTAACTTATATGAATAAATAATTACTAAGTTCCGAGCTGCTTACTGCATGAGAACGTCATAGAATAAGCAGAAGAATATGCTGTGCTCTGTCTTTTAAAATACATTTTTCAAAGTCAGTTTACACTCTTCAAGAGAATTTCACAGTGTAATATCGGGAAGTCGAAGATGTTTACAGTTTGGTTTTTGATATTGAATCTTCGGCTCGGATCTACCCAGCTAAAGCGGAAACGGAACGTTACATTAAGTTGGCAAGATGTGAATCGTCTATCTTAATACGGCTCCTTATACTTGGGAAATGTACAAGATATAAATGCTGTTAATATGAGCGTTAAAATATGGTAGATGATAGTAATGTCCACGAGATGGGAGTTTACTTTGGTCAATTCCAACATTCGATTGATAATGAGAAATAGAGTTCCCGAAGTTAAAAAAATTATTTACTTGTAGTTTATGATGAGTATATGGAACGGCAAATTAGCAGGTGCCTGACATACACAAAGGTGGAACAAAAATTGTAAAATAATTAAGAATTTGAGTCGATGGCATTCATTATGGGAGCCTAGGTAATGGCCAGTTATATGGAGAAACTTTTGCCTGCATGGACATCCGAAACACTCTGATATTCATTCAAAAGTAATTTCAAAAAAAAACTAACAAGTGACTGGAGCCCGTTCATTTCGTGTAAAAACACTGCTTTTCAAACGGTAAATAACACGACAGTTATTAAACGTCCACATAGGTGTTAACTTCGAAGGAATGTAGCAATTGCCAGCTTCATAACCCGCTGATCTCTGCTTTTAAATTATTAAAAAAAACCAAAGTCCGCCGTTTCTAGGTCTGCTTAAATTTTTCCACACTGCGCCGTTTAGGTCTCTTTTTTTCTTTTAGCCTACTTAATTACCTCTGCATGTGGTTTGGTGCAGGCTATTTTAACTTCTATCCCAGGCCGGGTTTGTGACCAATTATCACCAGACGCAGGTGACACGCGAACCTAATTACCTTCCACCAGCGGATATGTCGTGCAGTGCCGCAGCCCCCCC